GCCCGGCGAAGATCCAACCGTTGAGGCTCACGAGGAGGAGGCCACGAGTTTGCGCCACTGCTTGCAGGTCGTGGCGCAACGGAAGAGGGAAGCGGCGTCCTCCACGCGCACAAGGATCTCCCGGGCGGCGTCCTTCGGGAGCGCCGTTTCGTCCATCCTCACGTCACGCACGGTGTAGGACACGGTTTTTTTTTGAGGGAGATGCCATCATGGCGGTTTATATTTCATGAGCAAAAAAGGCTACATCTTCTGACAAAATGTCTAACAAAAAACCCGGAGGCTCGGACTGCCATACAATGGTTCGCGAGTCCTCCGACATAGTAGCCAACATATCAGCCGCCATATTGGCTTCCCTAGGGCAGTGTTGAAAACTAACTGAAGCAAAATTACGACAAATAAAAGCGCACTCCTCATAAATAGCTGCTGCCGGTCCAAGCGAGTTGCCTCCAGATTGCATCACTTGGATCACTTCCATACAATTGGCCTCAATCACCAGTTTGTTGCAGCCCATGTCGTTTGCCAGAATGAGGCCGTCTCGGAGCCCTCGGGCTTCCGCCGTCGCCGCGTCCTCAACGAACCGAATGTCGCTACATGATGCTGCAATGAAGGATCCAGAAGCATCGCGTAAGATTGCACCTGAACCCCCTGAACCAGTGTCCTCAGAAAAGGAGGCATCTACGTTGAGTTTTACAAATCCCTCACTTGGCTTGGTCCATCCATGTCTCACAATCTGGCTTGGACCCTTTTTCTTTGCTCTTGAGAAGTTCTTGGACAGCGTCGAAATCGCTTGTGCTGATCGTGTAGGATCCTGTAGCTGTTCACCATGCGTAAACTTCCTCCGCTCCCACCACAGGTACCAAACTGTCGTTGCGATTAACTCTTTATAGTTAACACTCGGAAGCAGCGGTGCCGATACATTAGGAGTTAGAAGTAGGTCAGCCAACACTGCCGCACCTTCCCTTTCGAGGGAGCAAAGCTCGTTGATCCTGTTTGCCATGCCCGGTGCACACCAGACAACTTGAACACGTTGACACTTGAAGAAGGCATGGCTGATACTCTCACAATCCAGATCGCAAATAGGGCACTGTGAGTTAGTAATCATATGCCGATTAGCCATAATGCCCCGACAGGGTATTGCACCATATAGTGCCCTCCAATAGTGAATTTTCACTTTGGCTGGGACTCGCAATTTCCAAAGAATTCTCCATATAGGACTAGTACTTGCGGAGATCATAGAATTGGCTCTCCTCAACTTTCGTCCATGCTGGTGATCCCACTCCATATGATAGGCGGTCTTAACCGTGAATATCCCTGTCCGGTTATAATTCCATGAAACGAAATCCTCCATCATACCCAAGGCAAGGGGTATGTTCATAATTCTTTGAGCATCAACGGGCCAGAATATATCTCTGATTAGTTGTTCGTCCCATTCTCTACTCTCCAAGTTAATAAGCTCAGAAACTTTGGTGATGATTATATTACCTCTCCTTGTCATAACTCTTCTGTTTGGGCTGCTAGGAACCCACGGGTCATCCCATATGCTGATTTGGGTGCCGTCTCCCACCCTCAAAATGTACCCTTTTTTGAAAGTTTGGATACCACTCCATAAGCTCTGCCAAGTGTATGAACTCCCTTTTTTGAGGCTGCAATTTAGGATGTCCCCATCTGGAAAGTACTTAGCTCTGAGTACTCTAGCACATAGTGATTCCGGTTCAGCTATTAGTCTCCAGCATTGTTTGGCCAACAGTGCCAAGTTAAAACAGTGTAGATCTCTGAACCCCATGCCACCATTTCTCTTCGGGACACACATCTTCCACCACGCAAACCAATGCATATGCTTCTTCTCATCCTCATCTCCCCACCAGTATTGAGACATAGCAGTAGTTATCCCATTGCACACTTGTTTGGGAAGCTTGAAGACTGACATTGCATATGACGGTATAGCCTGCACGACGGCTTTCAATAGGATTTCCTTTCCCCCAAAAGAAAGTAGTTTTTCCTTCCATCCTCTAATCCGGCTAAGAACTCTATCCACAAGGTGTTGAAAACAATCTGTTCTATCCACCCCCACAATTGGGGGTAAACCCAAATATTTATCTGTTATTGCCTCCACCATAATATTCAGGATCGTGCAAACTTCGGCCCTAGTCTCCACTGGTGTGCAAGGGCTGAAGAAGATACTAGATTTTGCTTCACTTACCGGCTGGCCGGAAGCTGCACAATAATCATCAAGTGCGCGGCGGAGACTCGCTGCATTGGTGGCGTCCGCCCTCATGAGGACGAGTGAGTCATCAGCAAACAAAAGGTGGGACACTGCCGGCGCATCCCTGCACACCTTAACCCCCAACAAATTTCCATTCTCCTCCTCGTGCATCAGTAGGCTTGAAAGACCCTCAGCACATAGTAAAAACAAATAGGGTGATAGCGGATCTCCTTGTCGGAGCCCCCTAGTAGGCACAAAATAATCTGAAAGGGAATTATTCACTCGCACCTGGTATTTAACAGACCGCACACACTCCATAATAAGTGTCACCCAAGCCACAGAAAAACCCAAGCGGAGGAGTACCTTCTCTAGGAACACCCACTCGACCCTATCGTATGCTTTGTGCATGTCAAGTTTGACTGCACAAACTCCATATTTTCCTTTTATCTTCTTTTTGATTGCATGATAAGATTCAAAAGCCACCAAGAAGTTGTCCGTGATCAACCGTCCCAGGACAAAAGCACTTTGGTTTGGAGAAATTATTTCTGACATGAGAAACTTGAGCCTGTTGGCCAAAAGCTTAGAGATTACCTTGTAAACAACATTACATAAGCTGATAGGCCTGAATTCTGTGATCACCTCAGGGCTCACCACCTTCGGGATCAGTACGATGGTAGTATTATTCCAGCCCTCTGGGATTTTCCTCGTGTTCACTGCCAACAAAACTTCGTCAGTTAAAACTTCTTCAATAATGTGCCAAAACCTCTTATAAAATACCGCGTGCAACCCGTCCGGGCCAGGCGCCTTAAGATCACCGATGCTATACATTGCTTTTTTCACTTCCTCACACGTATATGGTTTATTAAGGTCTTCATTCATTGCATCTGAAACCCTCGGTTGCACTTTATTTATCACCTCTTGGTCGGGCTCCAGGACACCCGAAGTGAACAAAGAGGAAAAATAAGACGTCGCATGCATCTTAATTTGGTTCTGGTCCTCTATCCAATTTCCCGCATCATCCTTCAAACGTTTAATGAAATCCTTCAAACGTTATCAGGACACGGTTGAGAGCGAGGCGAGGGACTCCGCGCTGATTGGCTTCTGAACTTCTAATTGAGCCGTGCGTGCCTATGTGCCGTTTCGTTACTTGGACTCATGTTCCAACCTGCAACTTGCTTTTTATACTCCCTCCATTTTTTTATAAGGTGTATTTGTTGTTGTCCCAATAATGCCCACACGTGTGGGTGCTAAGAGACCTGGTCACACGTTTCGTGTGGTATCTAAGAGAACCGGTCCACATGTCTATGTATGGATAAAACAAGTAATGCCCACATGCCTGGTCTTTTGCCTCGTGGTCCTTTCCACACGCCTACGTGTGGGCAAAATAAATAACGCTCAGACGCCCGTACGTCCGGCCTTCTACCTCACGGTCCCGCACGCCCCGCATGACAGTCACCATACGTCCCCGCAGTTGCCATGGTTGGGATCCTCGTTTAACTACAGTTGCCATGTTGCTAAACTACAGTTGCCATGGTTGCCCAATTGCAGTTGCCATCTTAAGTCAAGTGCCAGATGTCATTTTTGGACAACTTCAGTTGTTGCCATGTATGGTCTGGTCTACTATAGTTGCCATGATTTAAAAAATTTAGGAGTTGCCACCTGCTAACACTAGGCAGTTGCCATGTAGCATTATAAAAAGACATGGCAAAATAACATGTTCGGGTAAAGAGAGAGTTGCAATCTGCTTACAAGCACACTAGGGCAGTTGCCATGTATCCTGCAAAACACATGGCAACTGACAGCTTTGGGTGTGGGAGAGGAGACATGCGTGTGAGCGACGGTGGTATTTTTAGAAGTTGCCACCCACTAACACTAAGCAGTTGCCATGTAGCACTACAAAAAGACATGGCAAAATAACATGTTCAGGTAAAGAGAGAGTTGCCATCTCTGCTTACAAGCACATTAGGGCAGTTGTCATGTACCCTGCAAAACACATGGCAACTAACAACTTTGGGTGTGGGAGAGGAGACAGGCGTGTGGGCGAACTGATAAACGCCACACACCAGCCCCTTTGCGTGCGTGAAAACTGGCGTGTGGGCGAACTGCTAAACGCTAACATATCAGTTCGTGCAAACATACATGTGGACGACCAGATGAATGCCCACACACCAGCTCAGTCCTATGTGGCATAAAAATCTGGCAAAACATGTCAAGATTCGTGCAAACATAAATGAACGTTGATCCATGCGTGTGGGCGAGATGCAAACGCCCACATGTGTGGACGTTAGTTTTTTTATTGTTTTTTGATAAAATTTCAGAATGTAAGATGCATTTCTTCTAATTCGTGATAATTCCCTTGTTAGACCTTTAGAAAAGAGAAAAGTGTCTCTTGTATCTTTCCTTATAACAAAAGAAGAAAAATATCTCTGGACTAACTGTTTTACTTGCCGCTAACTAACCAATTTGCCATGGATAATTTCATTCTAACATGTTTATAATTATGTGCCTTGGTTATTGCCGAAAATAATATACCTTACATAAAGGAACGAAGGGAGTAGTACTATATAGGAATAGGGTGTACCGTATGTGAATTTATAGGAGTGAGTGTATGAGCTTGTTTTATGTTCAAAGAAAAAAAACATATGGTGCGCGCTGGTTGGGTTCTGATCGGGCCGGGCGTACGAACGTACGTGCCGAGTAGTATAAAAAACCGTAGCTTGCATGCATGCACACGTGTATTTTTTAACTTTTTTGCACACATATATGATTGCAGATCGTTGACGTTGATGGATCAAGTTTACATCAGCAGCAGGAGCGAAAGCGCCAGCAAGCAGGCGGCGAGGGCGAGCAGCGGCACTGCGGCGGGGGCGGGCGAGCCGGAGATGACGTCGCCGTCGTCGTCGGGCTCTTCGGCCTGGTCGTCGTTCTGCGTGCGCGAGGGCGCGAAGGGGGCGACGTAGATCTTGAGCTTCTGGCCCTCCTCGCAGTGCTTGCCGACGCCGCAGAAGTAGTAGCGCGGGCCGGCGGGCGGGATGAGCTCGATGATGGTGGGCCCGTTCTGGTACCGGTTGGTGATGTTGCGCATGCTGCACCCGTCGAACAGGTCCCGGCTCGGCACCTCCACGATGTTGTACACCCCGCTCCGGTACAGGAACACTGCGCGCATGCGATGCGACGGCCGGCGTCAAGGATCGATTGGCGCCCGCCGGAGCCGGAGAAGAAGGGGAAAATATATATAGGAATTGATGATAGCTAGACTCACTGAGCTTGTCGCCCACGCTGATGTTCCGGGTGCGGGCCCATTCCCCGTAGTAGGTCCGGTTGGGGGCCATCTGCCAGCCCTTGCCGGCGCCGACGATGTGGTAGATGCCCGCCGACGAGCCGGCGACGAGGGACGCCACCACGGCCGCGAGGAGCAGCAGCGAGAGGCAGCCTTTGCTCCTCTCCATTTATTCAACGAGATCGATCCGCCGGCCGGCTTGATCTTGGTTTCTCGATCGATGGACGACTCCTATAGATAATCGACTCGTTCGTACGTGCGTCCTCCTTCCTTTTTCCTCCCCTTGTACGTACGCGTGTGGAAGAGAAGAGTTTGGGATGGTGGTAGCTAGCCAGAGGAGATCTAGCGCCCCCATGTGCATGCATGCATGTGATCGATGGAGCAGGACTTGAGGGAGTCCATGGACGACCTTGCCTATTTTTTGCTCTTGGTTTGGTTCCTGCCTCTGGCTAGCTCTTCCCTAATATTGGCAAGTGTGTGATGGTCGCCGGTGAGTTTGTAGCCAATGTACGGATTATCCCTGATCGTAGTGCTTTTATAGATGTGCGGTCGTTTGGCTGGCCACACAATTAGCTCAACTGTAAACAACACGAATTTGTACGACCACTGGCTGCTTGTGCGTGCATGATCATCACTCGTGTGCCATGCTGGATCACGGAAAGTGGAGACGACAACACATGATGACTCTGATTTGATGGTGTTTCTCGAGTACCAGTCTTGAGCTTCGGGATGAAAATTCCATGTCTGACCCTAGTTGGTTACCTTGTTGAATGCTTTGCTTGAGATTTGCTCGAACTAAATATTCAGGGTGAAAGCACACAATCTGGTCTTCAGTGGTTGGTTGGATCCAGCGGTGGCAGCATTTGCACCCCATTCCCTTCCTGAAGTCGTTGTTTTTTTAGAACATTTATCATAGCCCTTGTGTTGTCAAGAGATGATTGATGCCGATGGTGGTCGTTGTATTTCGTCAATCACTATCTTGATCCCTTGGGGGGGGGGGGTCTTTTTCTTCTGTCTAACCATAGCTCCAATCTTGTATGACTTTGCCCTTTGCCGGCGTGAGCCTATGTGTGTGTGTGTGAGAGTTGTATGCATCCTAATTATGTAGAGTCTAGGCATGTGCTTATTGTATTTGTATCCCCTTGATGATACGTTCTCTCCCTGGAAAGGTCACTTATCCCCAAAAAACCGAAGGCAACATCTGATATATAATCTAGCTACACCTTTTCAAAACATGAATTAAGCATGATCTGAGACAACTACTTCTTCTGTTCATAAATATAGGTCTTTTTAGAGATTCTAATATGGACTACATACTGACCAAAATGAGTGAATCTACATTCTAAAATATATATATCCATCCGTATGTAGGCTAAGATGGGCAGACTTGGTGATGGGAATACAAAAAAAAATCATGTTATTTGTACTCGATTCTTCATATGTAACTGTATCGCTAGCATATGATCTGAAGAAGATAAAACCATCACTGATGATGATCTGAAGGTTGATGCACTATGGAACTCCTATAAGGATATGCTTGATACTTTTGAATTCTCATCTATGAGGTTCAACCTTTCTGCTTTTTGTGCCATCTCATGACCTTGGTGACCCTGAACTCCCATTCATTGAAAAAGGAAATTGAGGATCTTGTTGTGTGTGTATGCCATGTGAGAGAGCTCGAGACTGGCTATGTAGTGATTTCTATAATGGCAATATTAACATCCAGAGTATTAATACTGCTTTTATTGCTCTAATTACATATATCGACAATCCCCAGTTCATATCTTATTACATGACAATATCTCTGGTCAGTCTGCCTTTGAATTGCATAACAGTATATACCCATAGTTCATGCGAATCAATATGGGTTCATTAAATCCAAAACCATACAAGATTGTTTGCCATGGGCATTTGAAATGGACTTTGTGGCACCGAAGTGGATTACGTTGGTTTAAGTTGATGGCATTATCGTCACAATCTCATGCAACACAAGTGTTGATCAAGGACCTCAAAGGGTCCAAGTAGAGCTAGGAAGTGTGGCAGGTCCCAACATCTAGGTCACTAAGCCATGTATCTCCATCATGGAGGAAGTGTGCCATGTCCCAAGTACCATTCAATTAGAGTTCTCATGAAAATGAATTGCGCCTTATCCTTGGCATTACAAATGCAATAATTAAATGGCCGAGGAGAGGGGCTTTGCAATCTTTTTTTGTTGGCTCGAATGTGGTATTGAACTATCTGGGAAAACAACCAAGTGAACCAACCATATCTTGCTCAAGTGCAGAAGCCAAGTATCAAGTATAAGGTAGCTGACAAAACCCAAGTTGAAGTGATTTAGTTTAATTACATAATGTGTGGTAGAACCTCGGAATATTTCAGTCAAAGACACTCATTTCCATTTTTATGGTGTGACAACGTTGGTGCAATTAATGTATTGCCAATGTCAATCCAAGATTTCCAAACCCATCAAACATACTGAAGAAGGTTTTCACTTTTCGGGTGAGCAGGAGGCAATGGGAATGATGGATTTCAGGTTTTCATCTCGACCAAAAGAGAGGTAGACACTTTTCATGGGAACTCAATAAGAAATTGCAATCTCCACCTTTTTTCTTTGATGAAGGACTTCTTTTTCTCGTTGTGATGCTCTGATAGAATGTCTGAACAAGACGAAGATAAAAGAAAGCTTACAATCTCATTTCCTCGGAAAAGAATCACAATCTCCCGAAAATCAACAGAGACCTCAAGAAATATGAAAACACACATCTACTAAGTATAGCTGATACGGTGAATCGAAATGATACATACTGTGGCCATATTTGAAATCATTCAAAAAAAAAAAACTCATTCTACTGTACACGGTCGCCTTGTATGTACGTGCATACACCAAACCGATGTACGTACATACATACGATCCAATTGCGCCGTGGCTTAGTATGAGCGTAAATACATGGATCCAAGCCCAGATCGAGGGCTATTGTACTTGTGCGGCAAAAATACATACTGGGTAAATACATAGTATACGCATGCCATACATGTTCCCTATAGTTTCTTCTTGGCGTCCACAAGCTTCGCGGGGTCCACCTCCATCGTCGACGCCTGCGCGAGCTCCTCCTGCGCCGTCGACGACGCCTGCGTGGGCTCCACCTGCTCCATCGACGACGGCTGAGCGGCCTCCGCCTGCGCCGTCGACGACGCCTGCGCGGCCTCGTCCTGCGCCGTCGACGACGCCTGCGCGGCCTCCGCCTGCGCCATGGACGACGCCAGCGCGGCCTCCCCCAGCGCCGTCGACGACGCCGGCGGCAGCGCCGCTGCGGCGGGCGCCTCGGTGGCGGTGGCGGTGGCGGTGGCGGTGGCGGTGGCGGTGGCGGTGGAGGGGGCGGCGGCGTCGCCGGAGACGTTGACGGCGACCTTCTGGCCCCCCTCGCAGTGCTCGCCGACGCCGCAGAAGTAGTAGCGCGGGCCGGGCGTGTCGAGCTTGATGATGGTGGGGCCGAGCTGGTACCGCATGGTGACGTTGTCCATGCTGCACGCGTCGAACAGCTCCTTGGTCGGCACCTGCACGATGTCGTACACCCCGCTCCGGTACAGGAACACTGCGTGCACCCACGCCGGCGGCCACGTCAAGAACGGCCGGCCGGCCAGCCGGCGGCGAGGAGAAGGGGAGCGAACAATGAACAAGGAGTACGTACTAGCTAGGTAGCAAACTTACTGAGCTTGTCGCCGACGTGGATGTCCCTGGTGCGGGCCCAGTCGGCGTAGTAGGTCTGGTTGGGGGCGATGCGCCACCCCTTGCCGGCGCCGACGATGTGGAATATGCCGGCGGACGGGCCGGCGAGGGAGGCCGCGAGGAGCGCGAGGAGCAGGAAGGAGAGGTGGGCCTTGCTCGCCATGGTTCTCGACGGTTCTTTCTTCCGATCCGATTAATTCAGCTTCTTCTTCTTCCTCCTCCTCTGGTAGGTGGGTGAGGAAGAACCCTTTCCTTTCCCCTGCGTGGAGGAAAAGATTGCAATGGTGGTGGGGAGGTGGGAAAGACACCCTTGAATCTATCCATGGGGAGCTGCCTATTTTTGTTACTGGTTCCTGTCACTCTTCTCTAATATTGGCAAGTGTTTATGCATAGGCAGCTTTTGTAGCAACACGAAAAAATTGAGTGCACCCCGTGCTTGTGCTATGTTTGGATAGCCTGGCGGTTCCAAGGAGGCAGGTCCGGTTGGCCTGAAATTTACACATGTCCGTGCTGTTATTTGTCTCTTATTCCTGTGAAGGGTCTTCTTGTTGCTTTTATTTTCCTTTTAATAATACACTAAGTTGCTGCAGGATTTTTCTTTCAGAAGGCAACATATATAAAGGGTGTGGCTAGGTCTCAGTCGACTGAGATTTAACCAAGTCTTACTCAAGTGGCATAACATGCAAAAGAGAAACAGAAAAACTGAAAATAAAATTATGCATGAATCTCAATGTAACATCTCACGGATATAGCATCGACTGGGACTTCGTCAAGTCTTAGTCGACTGAGACTTAGCAAGACTGATACTATATGAAAGCGACACATGGAACAAAACAGGATGGAGAATAGGGCAACGAATTGTAGCAAGTAACGCAGTGTATTCAGTTGGAGAACAGGGTTCTTGTATGTCGTTTGTTCAGAGGGGTCGTGTGAGCAAGTCAGACGGGATGCCCTCTCTTGTAGACGTGTTGTAACGATTTTTATCCCAGTTTTGTCAAATTAACCGGTTAACTCTCTTACTCCCTTCACATAATATAAGTGCATTTTTGACACTCAAATACATGGGACGGAACGAGTAGCTTTTTAGTGAAAATCAGAGTCCTAAGAGGCGCAACTTCAAAACAAATGAAAGTACAGCTATCTGAAAATTACTCCAGACTTCCCCGCAAAAAAAAAAATCCAGACTGAACCTCGTTTTTCTTCGTTTGCTCTTAGAATGTGTCTCGGTCCCACATCAACAAACGTATGGCCTTCTCAATCCGTACTAGTCCATTACCGACATCATTACTCAGCAGATCAAACTAGTGAACTTATCATATGATTACAAAGAAATTTGAACATATTTGGACTCAAATCCTACCAGGACAAAGTCAGAGAGCATATTGTTACAATGAGATAAGAGTATTATCAAAGAATCATGATATCTATGATAGAAATAGGGTTTTTGTTGGTCGCGCAAGACAGAAATATGTGAATTACATAACTATCAATGGCAGCCAACACTCATACATATACTATTGCATCGCCGAGTCCAAATCATTCATTTTTCTTCTGTTCGACACAGAATTTCTGGACTCGGCAGGCATTTTGTTATGTACAGTAATCATATATATATATTACTCTATTCAAATAAGGGGGCTACAAAAAAAATTGGCATACACAAACCCTCGTTGCATCACTCGCACACATCAGGATGCATGATAAACTCCTTCAGACAACAATGTCACCTTCTGCAGTTTTGCTCCGACCATCATACTAGACTGTTAGTCATTGCACATCAAAACTGCGTCGATTCCCATGAGATGCGGATCGGGTAAACATAGCATGTAAGGCTCTAGCTCAAAAGTAAATACACGGCACTTGAAGCCCCTAAATCTGTACAGAAACCTAGCCCTAGGCCCTCGTTGAGATGCTGACTACTATGTCAAAGCGCCTTACAAAGTTTATCTTTCAGAGTAGCTGAGGCCTTTCACCCCCTCCAGTCGCCCACTTCATAGGGGGTTTCGAGCAAACATCAATAGTCAGAATTGTAGGTTGCTTCAACTGCGGAAGTGTGTTTTTCCACGGCTTTTGATGTCTCTGCCTTTGATATATCTTGGCACTTCGTTGTTGGCAAGGCAGAATGCTTGATGAAACATACGGTCGCCAAAGCAACATGGCAACCACAGCCAGTTAGATATTCTCATCCTGTAACTTGCTCAACAGATTGTTCAAACAAGCTCAAGGACTTTGATGCTCCCACTAGAGTTGGCGGCTACCACCATATTTGACCTTCCTCTCCAGCAAACGCTCGACACAAACTGCTGATTATCATCATTCGTCTCTTGTCCGGTTATTGGGTCAATGGAACCAAACTTATGGGAAGTTATTGGCATGGGAAAGCTTTTATAGTAAGAATATACCTGCAAACCAACAATGAGTTTTTCCACCAAAATGTCTATTAATAGCACACTTAAATTCACCCGCCAGATATATAAAGTTGTGACGTGAGTTTCAGATCTTGAATTGTTCGTGAATTAATGGTTCCTAAATAAATGCATGAGATTTTCCAAGTTAAATCATCAAGGTAGCATAACCTAACCTCGTCATCCTGAACAAAAAATATATGCCTAGGTGTTGCAGAGCAAGTGTAGTAGTCATCGCGAAAAAAAAGAGTAAGTGTAGTAGCATCAACACTACAGGGTTTGGTGGTTAACAAATTAGGTTGAGGAATGAGGCTAGAAATGTGTGGAGTTAGCAGGGCCGAGGGGAGGGTGAGATCTTTTTTTATGTTGGAACAACAAGGTACTCCCTCTGTAAAGAAATATAAGAGCATTTCGATAACTAAATATAAGAGCATTTAGATCACTATCGCTCTTATATTTCTTTACGGAGGGAGTACATGAGAACTGTCACAACAATGGAAAGTTACATTTTCCTCAGGGAATCAATTTGCATAACATTGGCTGCTCCAAAGAAGTGTTTCCATCCAAGAGAACTCAATATGCTTAACAGTGCCTTGATTAAACAAAGTGGAGTGCCAGCATGACAAGCCAAATATATGCATTCAATATAATACTCACTTCATTGTTTTCAGAACCGCACGTTATGTATCCATCGTGAACGGATAAGCCTACAAAATTCTGCATGGGAAAATGAGATTGATTACACACCAATTCCAAAAATGGTTACCAAAAGGAAAAAAGCAAATAATTCAGTAAACCTTTTATACCTTCTCGTTGGTATGACCACTCAATGTCAGACTGCAAGCATTAGTAGATAATCCATTAGGATTAGTCCGGTTGAGATCCCATATCTTCAAGGTATTGTCAGTTGACGCAGATATAAGCGTTTCTGCATCCAAGAATCTTACATAGCTGACAGCTTTCCCATGTCCAGAAATGGTACACCAGGGGATCCTTGTATGCCTCAGATCATAACAGTATGTCTTGTAATCAGCTGAGCCAAAGGCTAACATACGAGAGGAGTACGGCGAGAACTGTACACAGCATACGTTGGCCACATTTCTGATTGTGTCCACGCTATTTTTCTGGTAACAGCAACAGGACATAACTTTAATTAGAGAAAATGGTATCAGGAACATGAAAATGTATTAACGGAATATGGAAAGTGTAAATCAAAAAGCAAGACCAAAGTTTATAACTGAAGGTGGTGACTGTTGCTTCTTAGCAATGGTCAAAAGAACAGAAGTTAATTGCACTTGCTCGAGTGTTCAAAGTTAGTTTGGCTGGTTCTTCTGAAAGGCAGGCCCATCAAGGGTTGTTAGGGGGAAACTGAATGAGTCTTTAGATCGGGCACAGCTTAGCCCAACTTGCATTGATGAGCTTTTAGCCAGCCCAGCAAGGGATACAGGGCGGTGTCCCGCATAAGCCCGCAAAAGCAGGGAGTTAATTTGAACTGAACTAAATCGCCAAAAGAATGCTACAACTAACCTGC